AAAAAAAGAAAGGCAATTAGTAATTAATTAGTAACTAACTGTGGGATAAAGGAGTTTACACTTTTAATTTACTCTAAATTAGTGTAAACTTTATATTTTGCATCCAAACATGTAATGGTTTTACATGTACTTTGAGTCCAGTAAGTAGTAATAATGCTTGACATTGAAAAATTAAGCAGTTTAGAGATATTGCCTTAAAATATAACAAAAACAAAGATAAATATTGTCAGGATATTGAAGTCATTTGTATTTTTATATTTGAAGTAGATATAAAGTTTATAGTTTTAAGTTATATGTAGCTTCCTAGTTAGCAAGACATGTGAGATAAAATTGGTATATTTTTGGTGAAGAAAGGAATAATGATTATGTTATTTATTTTGGATATGATTACTATAGAGTTGATGAAATAATGGTGAATGCAAATTGTTCAGAATTTATAGATTCCTTCATCAACATTTTCACTTTTATTTCTTTCAAAGATAGTTTTCTTACCAAAGAATGAGGTTTTTTTTTTACTAAATTGCTACTTAAATAGAAATAATGATAGGAGGAAGAATTTTGGAAATGAAACACAGAGAGAACAATTGAATGATTGAAATTAGGAATCTAAAAATACTATAATATGATCCAGTTAAAACCTGCATAGGAAGCATTGTCTTTTCTTCATGATTTCTCTCTAATTATATTAAATAAGAAAATGAATAAATTTCTTTTCAAACTTTTTATAATAATTGAATCCTGTTATTATTCCATAAGATGTGCCATTTGAGCAATCTTTCCACATAGAAAATTAGTCTTTAAAGAGTTCCCTTTATTTTCACATTTAATACCAGTACTACTAAATTATTAAAACAGACTTATTTAATCAATCAAAATTATGCCACGTTTAAACATGCCTCATACTGAGTAAGTGCTTACTGTGTATTACTTAAAGTTGTGACATTTGTTTTACTTGTACATACCAAAATATAACACTATTATTTTAAGAATATAATTATTCACTTTGCCTGGAAGTGGTGGTGTTTTCTTGTGTAGTAGTATAAATGGATAATTAATATAATAAATGATTAAGAGAATGAGTTGATTGTTTAGAAAAATACATAATCATTCAAAAGTTATTAATTTCTTTTTTGACTATGAATTGAAGAAAGTGCAACAAAATGGTAGAAATTTAGGCTAGTGTGAACATTTTTCAGATATTTTATTTATTAAGTTGTTGACTATTATATGCCAAAATTATTCTGTGAGGGAAACAGTCTAGAGTGATTGAACTTTAGATATTCTGGTCGATAGTTTTACTCCAATTGTGAGAAGCAGGTTACATGGAAGTATGATTATGTTTGTGTGCAAGAATATGTGAGAAATGACAGAAGACACCTGGCTGTTCACATGAATAAGGATATGGGATAAAATTTGTTCAATGGTAAAATCTTAAAGAGCTAAATGTTCTAGGTAACCTGATTAAAGCAATAGCAACTGCCATAAGCAGTTAAGATTGTTTTTCTGCTTTAGAAAGGTATTTGTTTTATGTTGCTTGTTTTTGTGTTATGCAAAGCAAGAATTTTAAAAACAGCATTTTTATATTCTTTTAAGTGCAGAGCTACTGGGCTGGCCTTAATTTTTTTATACCTGGTATAAAATGAGGGGAAATAGCAAATCTGCTGTTTAGTTGGACACCTCACTGCCTAATCTACCATAGTGTATTAAATTTTTAACTCTGTTCTTATAGGACCAGTACCATAAGCATCATTGAGGAACTTAGAAATGCAAATCCTTGGGCCTCGTGTGAAACCTATTGAATGAGAAACTCTGGGGTTGGGGCCCAGCAATTTGTGTTTCAAGTACCCCTCTAATGATGCTGATGATAGCTACAATTTGAGAAGCACTAATTTAATTAATGGTATGTTACCAATAATTGGTAGCAGAATATCCAGTTAAATTCTTTACACTTATTTGATTCAAATAATTTTTGTTCATCTATCATCCTGCAGAGAGAAGGAAAGGGATGGGACAAGAACATATAAGGTTTTGCTTGCATGACAAGAAATACACTGTATGTTGGGGTGAAAATGAAAAGAACACCCTGGGATCCTGGATAGAAACTTGGGTATAAAACGACTTAAATATAAGGAAGGGGGTAAACTTTTTCTGTAATCATTTTGCCAAATACCAATTTTATATAATGACAAACCATTAAAAAGACAATAATAATTTATGATTAACTTTCTTCTTAAGCAAATTTTTGTTTTTAAGTACTTTCAACAAGGCAAATAACCAGTAACAATTGTGGGGATGGGAATTGTACACAATGTTGTAACCAAGAGTTTTGAGATGAGACTTTAAGGGTTCTTTTGTGTGTGTGTGTGTGTATGTATATGTGGTTTGTATTTCTACTGAAATCTTTTTCAATATTTGATATTAGAATAGTGTCTGTTCAGAACAGCACATTAGCTTCCTGCAAATTTTGTGTAAAAGGGATATTTAGTTAACATGAAGACTGTCATTATATACTAGTTAATGGTTGGATGTCACTTTGTCACATATAGATTAATTCCCACATTAAAAATTCTTATTAATTACTTTGATGTTCACCAAAAGTTATGCATGGCCTAAAAAATTACTGCAGGTCTCACTTGCATACTTTTATGTTGGTTGTGCCCAAGACAAGAAATGCATTTAAAAATATTTTTCTGGTCAAATGGAAAAACTTGTTTTACTGCTGCCTCTCACATTTCCCATTATACATAGGGTAGATGATAAGTAGAGGGGAAAGGGGCAGGTCCCCAGACTAAAAATAGGCCACACAATCTATAAAGTGCTGAGGAAATTATATTGGCATACTCTAGGTGTCCTGTTAACACTGCCTTACTTTTTTCTTGCCAGTGGAGAGGTTATACTTCCATCAGTACATCCCTTCAGGCATATAATCATCTATATCTCGAGGCCATTAGGAAGATCACTACTGCATCAGAGAAGTGTGTAGCTGGACAAGGGCACATCATGTCTTCCATTAAGTTCACTTTCATGTGACTGTCGTTCTTAACAGTCACTCTTGATGATGATGTCCTGCAGACTTTTATTTATCACCTCTTTCTTAACCAAACATTCCCATTCAAATTGAAATTTAATATTATATTTACAACCTTAATTAATTCTATAAGCTTCTACATGTTTAGTCACTAGTGCGGCCAAACCCTAAAAGGAATCATATGGGCCACAAAACTCACTATTATTTTCTCCCTTCTATAATATATAAAATCACCTCATCTGTTACTAATTATGGGTAATATGATACAATTTAATCCACATATGATATTGTAGATACAAAGCAATCTTTCATAATTGCTTAGGTTTATATCTATCCTACTTATATCCCAAATCGGAATATAAATACTTAAGTTCATATTTATTCTGTTTATATCTTAAATGGAAAGATAAATAATTAAGTTCTTAACTATTTTATTTTTATCCATATAAAATAACAAATGTGGTTTGATCTTGATGTGGTATGGTAACCTAGGTACAAATTTAATACATGTATAGATGTATTTATCACACTAAACTTTACCTTAAATGTTTGAATTTTCACTTTATAAATTATGAGAATATATTTAAAGGAGGTGATATTTTGGATGATACAAAAGTATAATTGGCATTTTTCAAAAATTAGCTGAATATTCTACATATTTTCAGACTAACACATTCACGCTTCAGTCTTTATTTGATATTTTCTGGACTTTGTAATTGTTTCATTAACTGTGTACTGGATCAACTTGATTAGATTATTATTTGAGGTATGGACAAACAAAAATTTAAAACAAAAAGCAAAAGACCAAAGTTATTCAGCCTAGATGCCCTCAATAATGATGAAAATAATATATGAAGTTTGCTGGATTGTGGTAGATGAGAAATAGAATACAAGGCTTGGTGGTGCATGCTGTGTCCCAGCTGCTCAGGAGGCTGCAGCAGGAGGATCCCTTGAGCCTGGAAGGTCGAGGCTGCAGTGAGCCATGATCATGCCCCTGGACTCCACCAGCCTGAGTAGCAGAGAGGGACCCTGTCTCAAAAATAAATAAAAAAGTAAAATGC